TTATAAGTAACAGAAACAGACTGATAGAGTGAGGTTCTACCCAGCAGCACTGTCGATAGGACTTTCTGTAATAATGGAAACATCTTGTAGCTACACCCTCCAAAACATGGCCACTAGCTGCAGATGCCTATTGTGCACTTGTAATTAGTGAGACAGAAGAACCGAATTTTTTATTCTGTCATGTTTTAATTAATTTGAATTTAAAGAACAACATGTGGCTACTGGTCACTGTACTGGACAGAGCAGATCTAGTGAGTCTCCATGAAGGAGAAGGCATATCTGAATCTCTGGTGGAATTTCTTAACCCGCTCCTGTTGCCAATGTGTTCCTTCTCCCATATCAGGCCTGAAAATAGTATAAGAATCTGGCAAGGGAGAGTGGGGGAGTATAGGGACAAAACACGAACTCTCGAGAAGACCCCACAGGTGATTCTGAAGTGTTGCCCTTACCCACCTGATGAGAACCACTGAAGTAGCGTGTTACGGTTACCTATTTCTATGTCATAAGCCACCCCAAAACTTAATGATGTAAGAGAGCAATATTTATTTTTTTCACAGTCTGCATTTGGGCAGGACTCCATGGAGATCTCTGCTTTACCTGGCATCAACTAAGGTGGCTTGAGGGTTGGGGCTGGAATCATCTGAAGATTTTCTCATTTACATGTTTGGTAGTTGATATTGGCTGTTAGTGGGACCCTAGATGGGACTTTAGCCAGGGCACCTAGATATGTCTTGGGCTTCCTCACAACATGGTGGCTGGGTTCCAAGGCTGAGCATTGTGGAGATGGGAGCAGGGAGAGAGCACACAGGTGGTGCTAGGTAGAAGCTCCACCCCTTTTTTAAAAAACCCACCTTGGAAATCATGCTGTATTCTATTTATTAGAAGTCAGTCACTGGGCCAGCCCCATGGCTCACTCGGGAGAGTGCGGTGCTGGTAGTGCCGAGGCCGCGGGTTCGGATCCTGTATAGGGATGGCTGGTGCGCTCACTGACTGAGCGTGGTGCAGACCACACCGTGCTGAGGGTTGCGATCCCCTTATCAGTCCAAAAAAAAAAAAAAGAAGTCAGTCACTAAGGCCAGCCCATATTCAAGAGAAGACTCCAACTCAATCCTTTTATAGAAGGAGTGTCAAAGAGTTTGCAGATGTGGTTTAGAACCAACACATAGACTTAGGAGCAAGGAGCATCAAGGATGGAACTCTGAAGAGCATCTCTATTTTAGCAGATAACTAAGCCTCTTCCCGCTTAAACCTTCCCATCACACAAGGTTCAGTAAATTGCAAGGACACAGCAGTCCTCAGGCAGCTCTGTAGTCTATGAAGAAATACAGTTTTCTCTGACTACTTCTAGGCACAGACAGGCTCATCCTGGAACACCTGGCCCCAGGACCACCTCCTCCCCAGAAGACATCCCTCAAAGGCCTGTTTTCTAGGCTTTTGAGACAGAAACTTCTCTGTGGCACATACTCTTTGAGTAACTTTCTAATTCCTTTTTTCAGAAATTCTTGTATGGTGGAGCGGGAGGAACCTGGGGGTCAGGACACCTGGGTTCTGAGCCCCACCCTGCAGATGCCTATAAAAAGAATGCAGGTTTATTTGGGAGTGGGGAGATTATGGGGAATAATTTTTATCTCTATATTTCAATTTTTAAAATAATATTAGTTTAAAAATTTTATTGTGGTAAAATATATATCATATAAAATGTATCACTTTAGGGCCAGCCCAGTGGTGCACTGCTACAGTGCGCCGCTTGGGAGTGCAGCGGCGCTCCCGCCGAGGGTTCGGATCCCACATACAGACCGGCCGCTCACTGGCTGAGCGAGGTGCGGACGCAACACCGAGGGTTGCGATCCCGTTGCCAGTCCCGGTCCGGTACGGGCGCAACACTGAGGGTTGCGATCCGTTGCCGGTCACAAAAAAAGACAAAAAGGAAAAAAAAAATGTATCACTTTAAACATTTTTTACTGTATACTTCAGTGGCATTAAGTACATTTACATTGTTGTGCAACCATCACCACCATCCATCTCCAGAACTTTTTCATCTTCCCAGACTGAAACTCTGTACACATTAAACAATAACTCCCATTTCCCCTCCCCCCCAGGCCCCAACAACCACCATTCTGTTTTCTGTCTCTGTGAATCTGCCTATTCTGGGTACCCCAGATAAGTGGAATCATGCAGTATTGTCCTTTTGTGACTGGTTTATTTCACTTAGCATAATGTTTTCAAGGTTCATCCATGCTGTAGCATGTGATAGAATTTTCTTCCTTTTTAAAGCTGAATAATATTTCATTGGATGTATATACTACTTTTTAAAAATCCATTCATCTTCCAATGGACATTTGGGTTGCTTCCACCTTTTTGGCTATTGCTAATAGTGCTACTATGAAGATTAGTGTACAACTGTAGTTTTTGTTTTGTTTTGTGGCTGACCAGTACAAGGATCAAACCCTTGACCTTGGTGTTACCAGCACCACGCTATAACCAAGTTAGCTAACCAGCCTAGTGTATAAATGTCTGAATCCTTGCTTTCAATTGTTTTGGGTATACATGAGTATGTAGGAATTTCTGGATCATCTGATAATCCCATGTTTAATTTTTTTGAGGAACCAGTTAAAATTTCTTAAGCTTTGTTTAAAAAAAAATGAATGAAGAGATGAAAGATAAGAATCAAAACAGCCAGTTTGATACCTTAGTAACAGAAAAAGCACATCTGATATTTTTGGTTTTTAATAACGTTTACTCTTCTATAAGGTTTTTTCGGGGGGGGGGTTGTTTTTGTTTTTATTTTTAAGAAAGATTAATTACAAAAGGAGACACATCATTTCCAGCTTTTATTAATTTATTTCTTTGGATTTCTAAAAATGAAACATTTTTTGATTGTAGTAAAATACACATAACATAAAACTTACCATCTTAACCACTTGTAAGTGTGCAGTTCAGTGGCATTAAGTTCAGGTTTTATTTTAAGGCTTGTAATCTCATCAGATTCTAATCCCATCAGCTTTCTGCACCTGTCTTGAGGCTCAGAGGTCTGGGGCTCTCCCTCTCCCCCCACCCGGCCCCACACTGCACCTGTGCTCTTCTGGCCTTTCCCTAAACCCACGGGACAGAGCCGTCTGAGTCAGGCTGCACTTGTGCAGAGGCCTGAATTATGTCCACCCAAAACTCAATGAAGCTTGAATTGTATCCCCCAAGTTTCATGTATTAGAAACTTAGCCCCCACTGTGACTGTTAACAGGGTGGGAATTCCTATTATGGTAATTGTAAGGTGGGGCCTTGAAGAGTGATTGGGTTGTTGGATTGTGCAGTAATGAATGGATTAAAAACGGTGGTGAAGGGCGTGGTTCTGAGGGCTTTAAAAAAAGAGAGTCTGTCTTTCTCTCTCCTCTCTCTGCTTCCACCATCTTGCAATGTGAGACCCCTGAGTCACTGTCGCCACCATCAGAGGGACTTTGGACTTCCCAGTCTCAGAAACTGTAAGCAATAAATTTAATTTTCTTTATAAATCACCCAGTTCCATTTATTCTGTTATAAGCAACACAAACGGACTAATACACCTTGTGACCATCTTTTGTAAGATGGTAACATTTCAACATATTTTTGTAGCCTTTCACATGAAATGACTGTCATGTCAAAAACCAAAATATGAATACCTAAGAGTTGTGCTGTGTGCAGGGAGCTCGGCAGAACAGGTATTCATGTCTACGCCCTCCCACCTGCCCCACCACACACATACATGCACAAACATGGGTTGTGTGACTCTGGCATGTCTCCTCCCTTTTTAGGCCTTACTTTTGTCCTCTGCCAATGAGTGAGTCAAACTAAATGATATGTGAAGGGCGCCTGGACTCCAGGCGCTGAGGGTGCTCAGCACAGGAGAAGGAGCAGAGAGGGCAGGTGTTGGGGGTCCTGGAAAGAGGCCGGAGCCTGTTTTACACCCTGGATTCTTCTGGAGGCCTGACATTTTTGCTACCAATGCCTCACCTCACAGATATTTTCCAACCAAAATTAGGGCTAAATGGTCTGAAGACAAGGAAATTAGTTCGCTAAAAGTGTGAAGAAGGCTGGTCAAGCCAGAGGGCGTGGAGGGGCCGCATGGCAGGAGCGGGTCTGGGAGGTCACTGAGCGGGTCAGGGCAGGACGGGAAGCAGACAGAGCAGAGTCCCCCAGGAGCAGACAGAGGGGGCGCCATGGCGCTGTGGCAAGGGACGGCCCGGGTCTCTGTGTCCTCTTTCTTGGTCTATTCTGGAGTCCGGGGCCTGGCTAGTGGGTGAGGCTGAGTTCAACAGAACCACTGCTCCTGTCGGCCCCACCTTACCCCAGGAAACGCCTCCTCACCGCAGCGACCACATCCCTCAGGTTGCCTTGGAAACACGCGTGGGGGCAGGGGAGCTGGGGCGCGTTGCCCGGCAGCAGGGGTGCCCTCCCTTCCGCCCTCCTGCGAGGCCAGCCCCTGCGCCCCGCCGCCCTGCGCGGGGAGGAAGCGGCTCGTCAGGCAGGGAGAGGAGCCCGGACTGTCCACGGTGGGTGAGGGTGCAGGCGGCCCCTGCGCACGGGGATCCGGGGCAGAGGGACACACCAGGGCGGCAGACACGGGCGGAGGCCGGGACAGGGACCGAGGTGGCGCTTGACACCTGGCTCGCAGCAATCTCAGTGGCGCCCGCCGGCCGAGAACAGGATCCGCTCCGAGGACAGTGGCCAGGGCCAGACGTGCGGCGGCGAGCGGAGGGTACCGGGAGGAAGGTTCTCGTTTCCTCACCCACCACTTCCTCTCCAGGCCGCGAGACCCGCGGAGGAAAGACCCGGGCGCCTTCACTTACCCGGGCGTCTGGGGCACCCCGGAGTCTGGGAGGGATGCGGGGCTTCCGCGGGGGCTCGGCCCCACCTGGCCCGCTCTGGCCCCTTCTGGCGCTTTCTTGGACACCTGCTGCCTCTCTCCTTGTCTCGACTGTGCCAACTCCCGCCTCATTTGTCCCTTCTCATCCCCCCTTGTCTCCCAGATGCCTTCGACTCCAGAGCAGCCCCCTGCGCCCGTGACGGGGTCCCCTGCGTGGGAGATGGCCTCATGGTCCCTGCTCCCCTGCGGGCTCTGCATCCCCATCATGTTGGGCCTGGCCTGCCTGGCCGCCTTCTTCATGCTGACTACAGCCATGTTGGCCGATCGCCTGTTCCGCCGCTCTCTCCGCCCAGACCCCAGCCAGCGCACCCCAGCCCTGGTCTGGCGCCCTGGAGGAGAGCTGTGGATCGAGCCCTCGGGCACCCCCCGAGAGCGCTCTGAGGACTGGTACGGCTCGGCGGTGCCCCTGTTGATGGACGGTTCCCCAAGCCCTCCCACCCTCGGGGGCACCTTGGAGGCCCGAGCAACTGCCCCACCTGTGCCTTCAGCCCCCAACTCTGCTCCCAGCTCCTTGGTCCCCCAGACCCCACCTGAGGTCCCAGCCCGCAGCACCTTCTGGGGGCCCCAGCCCTGGGAGGAGAGACCCCATGCTGCAGGTCTGGTGAGCTGGGCTGAGCCTGAGCAGAGGCCAGAGGCCAGAGCCCTGTTTGAGAGCCCCCAGGCCTGGAGACAGCAGCCAGGGAGCCCTGAGCCTAACTGGGGCCTCCAACCTCGGGTCACCCTGGAGCAGATCTCTGCTTTCTGGAGACGTGAAGGCCGGACTAGTGTGGGGTTCTGAATCCCCAGACCCTGGAGGACCAGCCTCCCAGAGACCCCTGAAGAAGGCCCTCCTTCAGATGGACCGTAAGACCCACGGCTCCAGCCTCCGGGCTGATCCTGAGACTTCCCAGGGAAGATGCCCCTGCAAGGTTTTTGCATCTGGATTTCTGTTCCCCTGAGTGTAGGTGGTGGGCAGGCTGAATGTGGACACAGCCTGTGCTGCAGGGGACAGGCAGCAGTGCCTCTGCTTGGCTGCCGGGGCTGTGGCTAAGAGAGCACTAGGCGGGGCCGACTCTGGGCCAGATTGTATTCTGAATTAAGAATGCAAGGTACCTGACAGGAAGGAAACAGCATCAACCCAGCCACTGCCTGCTCCAGTGTGCACCTGTGATGCCAATATCAAAGCCAAGGGGTCCCTTGGATGCTGAGGAAAAGACTGGGTGTGGTGATGACCAGCGTCAGTCGTGTTAGCAGGATACAGGAGGAATCCAGCTTCCCAGAGCCACATATCTTATCCTTCCTCAGCCACTCAGGAAAACACACACACAGAGGACAAGACCAGGTGAAGGAGCATTTTATTACATGCGAAGTGTGGCTCTGTCCTCCAAATGGCAACAAGGAACCTGCTGAGACAAGATGGAGAGTCCGTCTTTTGCCTGGAGTTGGGACCTAGAGTCTTAGAAGACCAGCAGGGTCCTCTGCTGGCCTCTGTGGCTGTGCACATCAACCCTCTGAACATTACTACTCCATGGTAAGGAAGGCCTGGGCCAAGGAGAGCTGACTTTGACCCACTGTGGAAAGGAGTATGGTCCCAAGGCAGGGCAGCTCCCACAATGTGGCTTCTGGCCATCTTCCCTCCCAGCTGCTGGAGTGGTCCAGAGAGACAGATTAGCCCCAAGATAGGCTTACTTACAATGCCCTGCGCACAGAAATGAAGCCATCTGTGTCACCGACCTCTCCTCAGGGACAGGAGCCAGGAGTGGGAGAGCAGGTGGAGTTTCCATCCTCCCAGGTCTGATTTCCCAAACTTCAGTCATGAATATTAGGATTTTTGCCATATCAGTTTAGTGCCTGTACTATTATTTACTTTCTACTTTTCTTTCAATTGGCTCACTGTTTGCTTAATAAACTTATTTTAAAAGGAGTCTTTTTTGTATCACTTCTGTAAATGGAAAACTAATATCACTTGCCATAAATAGGTTAAACATGAAAATAATGCAATGTAAACAAAGTTATTAAGTTCCAAGTAGACATTGTTCCCTGCTGGAGGCACTGACCCACAACTCTGCTCTTTCTTTGTTAAAAGAAAAGGGGATGGGGCCGGCCCCGTGGCTCACTCGGGGGAGTGAGACGCCGGTAGCACCAAGACCGCGGGTTCGGATCCTATGTAGGGGTGGCTGGTGTGCTCACTGGCTGAGCGTGGTGCAGACCACACCGTGTCGAGGGTTGCGATCCCCTTACCGGTCATAAAAAGAAAAAAAAAAAAAAAAGAAAAGAAAAAGATATGGATGGATCAGCAGGTCACAAAAGTGTGGGACGTTGTCGCATTATGCTGAACCCTTGCCCGGAAGCACTGAAGCAGACAGAGGCCTGTGCAGGTGCAGTGATGCTGTGTTGCTTAGCGCTGGGCAGGAACCGCAGGGTTCACCCACACGCAGGGAAACCCTCTGCTCCTCCTGCTCCAGAGGGCAGAGGAGTGCTTGCGGTCTCACTCCCAATCCCTTGGATGCTGGAAGTTGAAGGAGCAGCCAGGCAATGAGAAACCACCAGGCGGAGAGACCAAGAGCCCAGCAGTCTAGGCCCTCCCGCAAGATGTGCCCATCCAGCCAGCCTGCACCAGGAGCACCTTCTCTGAGCCAGGTGCTGGGTTGGGGAGGAATCAGACCTGGCCCTGCCCTCAAGGAGCTCGGGGTCTCAGGGGCTGGGGGATGGAAAACATGGACACAAAGCTGATACAGGGTAGAGATGAGGGCTCCTGTCCCATCTGTCATTCATGAGCTGGGTAACTATGTCACTTTTCATTGTCACCATCAGCTGGCAGAACTGTGTGGTGGGGACTCTGCCCATGTGGAGTGAACAGTCCACCAGGGAAACAGAAGAGAGAGAGAGGTTCAGAACTTAGATGCCTCCATGCCAAGTGCTCAGGAGAGGCAGTACCCTGTGGAAGGGACACCCCGGGGGGCAAGGCTCCTGGCTCTCAATCTAGCTCTGTCACCCACTCACTTGGAAACTTTGGAAAAGTGAATTTTGTATTATTGGGCCTCATGTTCTTTGTACAAAAGAGTTGAAAATGAAACAACGTGCTCTATTGAGACTTTTCTAGCTGTGATATTTGAGAATGCTGCAAAAGGATGGATGGATGGATGGGTGGGTGGATGTATGGATGAATGGATGGATGTTTAGTGGATACGTGGATGGACGCCTGTGGTCTTCCTGAAGTAGAGTCCAGCTTGCCATCCCCAGAGTCATCTTTACATTCCTAGACCCAGAACATGGTCTGAAACATAACTGGAGCCCAATGAAAGGGAAATGAATGAGTAACTGGATGGATTAATAGGTGCATTAGCTTTACCCTTTCTCCTTTCTCATTATTTTAAACCTCTCCCTCTCATTTGTAACACCGTCTTATTACTTTCTCATGTTGATTCCTTCTTTTATGACTTTGGGCATTTGAAACATACTTGCTGTATGGTTCTTTACCCAATAACTCTATTCTCCAGAGTTGTAGGGTGGGAGTTAATCCTAATGTATGTTGTTTCTTCTTATTCCCATTTATAATGGATTGTTTTTCCCTCACATTTTATAATTTTGTGCTGTGAACTCAGCTTCAAAAGGGCTTTATCAGTGGGAATCCACATGACCGGGTTTGAGGGCATGTCTTTCTAGAGAGGTTTTGTGTTTGCTTCTGCCAAGGGTGCCTCAGAGGTATTATGAAACGGTACCTATTATTTGTTAATTTTATTTGGGCTTCCCAGACCATGCAGATAGTGTAAACTTGAACCCAAATTCAGGTGAGGGCAAGCCTTTAGTTATAAATTCTCAGATGAGACCTTTTATTGTCACCAGATCTAGGGTAAGACAAAGTCCTTTTGTGCTCCCTGGACTGGGAGCAGATTTTTTTTCTAGTCCACTCTTCCACTGAGGTAGTCACCCTTTAAGGGTCCAAGCTTTCTGTTAGGGTCTCAGTTTTCAAATCCCCAGGCAAGGCGTCATCTCCAGTCTCTATGTGGGTGTAAAACCAAAGCCCTTCTCTTGTAAAGACAGACCCACAGCCAACCCAGCAGCTCGCACAGCTCTGGTTTTGAATTTCCTCTTCATGAACACCTCCTGGGGATTCCCCGTACTTCCTCGCAACTCAGTTGTGCATTTTAAAGGATGTTTGCTTGCTTTTATGCAGAATTTTCAGACGTTTCGTTGTGTGGTGTGCTTGTCAGGTTTTTCCACTCACAATATAAACAAGACTATTTTCCGATGTAAACAAGTTCAAATCTCTCCTGCCTCAAAACAACCAGCCAACCAACAACTAATTCTCTTCTTTTTTTTTTTTTTTTTGCAGCTGGCCTGTATAGGCATCTGAACCCTTGACCTTGGTGTATATAACACAGCACTCTAACCAACTGAGCTAACCACCAACCAGCCCCCAACAACTAATTCTCTATCTGTCAAACGTGTAACATGACCTTTCACCTCCTTCACAGCCAAACTTCTGGAAAGAGCTGTCCATTCTAGCCGTCCACATTTTCTCATCTTCCCATCACTCAGCCGCAGGCTTCTGTACACTCCCAGCGCTCTACAGACACAACTTTCACCAAAATCATGACCTGTATATGTAAATCAAAGGACACTTTTAAGCCTTCTGCAGGCAGCATTAAACATTTTGATTCCCTTCTTGACACTCTCTTCCCCAGGCTCCTGTGACTCCACACATGCCTGCTTTGCCTTCCCTCTCTCTGGCTGTCCTCGCTGGCTCTCTCCTGGCGGTCTTCTTAGAGGTCAGTCCTGGGCTGCCTTAACTGTCCCTCCACGCACTTGCTGGACAATCTCACCCATGCCCATGGCTTCAATTGCTACCTCATTCCCCGATGATCCCCAAATCTCTACCTCCAACTGTGGCAGATATGGTCCTCCTAAATCTATTCCCCCATTCTTCTTTTTCTTTCTTTCTTTTTTTTTTTTTTTGGCAGCTGGCCAGTAAGGGGATCTGAACCCTTGACCCTGGTATTATCAACACCATGCTCTAACCAAGTGAGCTAACTGGCCAGCCCACTCCCAGTAGTGTAAAGGAACAGTACCACTGCTTTACCTGGGCTTGTGGCCACCCAGAAGAAAGCTACATTTCCCAGGTGCCCTTATAGTTAAGGGCAGCTGTGTGACGGGTCTGGGTGTTATTCCCCACCCATATACCCCTCCTGCTGGTTCTATCCAGACATGATGGTGAAACGCTGTGGACGAGGGCACCATCCTAGATTTGGCTGAGCAACTAGATCAAAGGAACCTGAGTCCCTTTGGCATTACCGCACCAGCCCTGAACTGTCTTCCTTGGCATTATTATATGATAGAGAACCAGCATTTTATTTTGCATAGGTCACTGTCACTCTGGGTCTGTGTAACATGAAACCAAACCTATACCTTAACTAAAACACCATCTTAGGTCCCTCTCCTGAGCTCAAACCCTGTCCTAGCTAACAGCCGCCTAGATGTTCCCCTGTGAATGTCTCAAGATGATCTCAAGGGCCGGCCTGTGGCTCACTTAGGAGAGTGTGGTGCTGACAACACCAAGTCAGGGGTTAGGATCCCCTTACCAGTCATCTTTTTTAAAAAAAGACCTCAGGCTGCGTGAACACTTCCCACCAAGCCCAATCTCTCGCCTTCATCCTCGGCTCCTTCCTGACCACCCCCCTCCGCCCTCCCAGCATCCCTGGGTCTGCCTACTTCTCTCCACGCCTGCTTCCACCATCCTGGTTCTGCTCCACCCATTGCTCCTGAATCACACCTAGGTGGCCTTCCTGTCTCCATTTT